ATTGGTGATATATACATAGTAGAGCAAGGCTGATGTATTCTGCCCCTTAACAAYTTAAGAACTTCAAGTTCTAATTTTTTATTTCCATTAAACACATTCTCACAATTTTATTTGTCAACAGTAAAAAGCTTTAATAATCAAAGCTGATGTCCAATAGTCAAAAAATATTATTACTGTCCAAATCTCCACTAAAAATTCCTATTCCCTACTCAAGAATACCAGTATTGTATGGATCATATACAAGCTTCAAGCTGAACGTGTCAGCTTCAACCTTTCTGGTGTTAACTCAGATAGCTACTCCAAGAATAACCAGGTTCATTTTCCTCTCTTTGWACAAGGTAAGAAACACAGCAACAGCAACGTAAGAGCTTCTTACCTTCTTCAGTTCCCAAAGGCTTGTCCTTTCAGCACCACAGTATAAAGGACTTCGGTGCATAGGATCATAAGAAGCTCCGTTCTTCCTGCCTGAGGGGTGAARGAGAAGGAAAACAACTTAAATTTTCTCAGGCAATTTAAGAAGAGTATTATTTCCCCTGACAGTAATGCTGCCCATCACTCCCAGCTGCACAGGCCAGGGGCACATCTGGCAGCAGGTAAAGGCTGTACCCAGCAGCCCTTCACCAGTGTATAATAGGTGGACAAGCTGATTTCCTACCTCCTTCCAAGGAAGGCCCTGAAAACCCACAGCCTGTTCCAAAAGGTGTTCAGGGAAGAGTGAAACTGGGCACAAGTTCAAAGCTGGACAAACTGTTCCAGCAGGCTTTCCAAGAGAGAGAGCACCTACACATCCTGACCCTGGCTACACTGCTTAGAAGGTGTTTGAACACAGAAACAAAGAATTCCAAGCCTGTTTACCAGGCAGTTTACATTGTTTAAGGCACAAAATGTGTTTATTACAAACTGCATAAACTGAAATATAGTAGTCATAGAGTCTTTTCATAACTGCTGAAGTAAGAGATAAATTGCTCTGACTGGTYGCTTTCAACCAAACTTCAATCTAAAAACTAAAATAAGGTTTTAATCACCTAATCTTACAACAACTCTTGATCAATGTGTTATGGAATGTCRGCTCTTAAATGATATATTTTCTTGCTGATTTACCTCCCATATTCAGATGATGCACCCACGAGGCTGTTGAMTTTGAACTGTTTGTTTTAGAAGAATTTTCCGCTGTATTTCTCTTTTCATCTTCTACTTCTTTGTCTGCATCCACAAATTTTTCCTCATCCTCTTCAGCATCTTCTTGATCCTTAAAGCACTCTTCATCATCTGACTCCTAAAAAACCATAAAACATTAAAATTAGCAAACAGCTTTTCCTTTCCAGATTTACTCTGAYTTTTTAGAAAAATGCACATAAAGTTCTTGAGAAACTTAAATCTAAACAAATAATGGTTCATGTTTAAGAAATACAGATTTTTGTCCTTGATACAGCACTTAAAATTAAATTTTACTGCCTAGAACAAATAACTGTCCCTCCCCACCCCAAGAAACATAACATCTTAGCAAGCCYGCAGGTTACTAATAAAAGGTGCTTATGAAAATAGCTCTTATTGAAAAAGCAGTGAGATATAGAAATTATCTTGTACCATGTGATCCTGTAACTGGACCCTTAACTCTGGTTTTACTTTCAGCAGCTCAGACAGAAGGTACAGGGTTCCACAAATGAAGGGTGGCATTTGTCCACAAGTTACTTGAAGCAGCCTCTTCACAAAGGCCTTCACACGCCGCGACACTACATCTGCCTTCAGAGACTTATAGACAAGATTAAGAAACATGGATGGCTTGGAGCACGTTGCTAAAGCGGGATCTAGAAGCTTCCTGTAGGACACACAGGAGAAAATATTGCTGACTGTCATGAAGCACACAAGAGAACAACTGCAAGTAACACAATTATCTACATGTTTCAGAGTGCCATCTAAAAGGCCAGTGACAGTTTGCTTCCCAATACTCAAAACCATTAAGATCAATACTGAATTGTCAAGAGTTGTGTGGTATTTCTGGCTATGTATGAAATACTGAAGATTTTAAAAAAAAAGCTGCATCAGTAAAAAGAATTTGTAAGAAAATATAAAGAAATTGAGTTCATCTGAAGACACTTTCAAAATTTAAGATATTCAGTGTTAAGAAACTAATCTTATGTCTTAATATATTTTTAAAAATAGAAAGAAAATGGTTAGAAATCAGCACACTTCACAATCAGATCAGACATTTATACCGGCAGGTTTATTTTCTACTCCAATTTTTTCCAGTGAGGCCCTTAAATATATTGAACATTCTCAACCTGAGTTCCCTTTTTAAATAATCGKAACTTCCCCTTGGTCAACTAAACAGAAGCCTGTAAAGATCCTATAAAACATCTAAACAATCAGCTGGGGACAAAAAAAAACCACAGTATTTTCATAACACAAGACTTTCCAACTACACAAATAAAATAATCTAAAGAATTTGTTAACTCAATATTCCCCCTCCTCAAAATGATTTTTGAAAAAGAAAACAAGATTTTAGGCTATTTATAGGCCTAATTTACAGGCTAGTGTCTGTAAAAGTGATTTCAGAGGAAATAGCTATCAACTAGTTTCAAGTAACATCTGGAATTAAAGCAAGCCATCAAAGGAGTGGCAAAATGCACATGTTRTATTCTCAGGACCTATCACTATATTTTGTTTTTATTCCCATGTTAAGTCAAAGAAATCACATACATTTTCTTCCAGCTCATACAAAACATCAGAAATCCTAGCCAATGAGACACAAAACTAGAAAGATATTAAAAGCAAAGTAAGTGTTTCTATAACTTTAAATTAATGGTGTCTACCTTTTTWAATGAAATCTATATAAAAAATGCAAACGTGCCACTTACTTGTAGAGCGCTGCRTAGTACCTATCAGATACAGTCTGCTGAGAGTCCATCACCTGGAACAGCAACATGAGGGCCTGGACACTGGTACTGAAGTTCACAAGATGCAGAACTTTGAACAAGGTGTTCATCTGCTCTTTCACTTTCTCATCCCCAGTCTCAGCGTAAGGGTAAGCTCTGTTTACCCCACAAAGAAGAGCACTGAGCATTTTGGATTCAACATCTTTTTTCTTAATACAGTTCCGGAAAAAGCAGAAGTACAAAGTTATCAGCTTGTTAGCCAATGCACTTTCTTCATGACTGAGGACTATCTGATTTAGAAAGCAGATGGCATAATATTGAGTTTTCACATTGATGTTTGAGCGGTATAAAAGCCTCTCCACCTCACAGCACACTACTCCCTTCATATTTGGATGCTTGTGAAGTAATGTCTCTAAAAGGTAGGAGGCTTTGGTGGCRATCTTGTTCTGAGGGTCACCCAGTTTATTCACCAGCAGAACCAGCAGAGCTTTCTCCTGCTCGGGCTTGTTACACAGAAGCTCATGGGAAACTGCCAGCGCTCGKGATTTTGTGGCTGTCAAACAATCATGGCTTAATGTTTCCAATGCCTGCACGAAGTCTGCTATCTGCAGCTTCAGGTGATGCTCAAAGTACCAAAGTATCAACCGCCTGTCTCTTGAATCCTTGTTGCCACTCGACATCTTCACTATGTTGTTAAGTGGTCGCTGCGAGAAAGACCACAATTTCCGATTGTCTGGCAAGATATCTGTAATCAGAAGCTCCTTGAAAGTATCCAAAGCCATGAGGCTCTGCTGCCTGCTGCCTTTTTTCTTTATAAGGTTTATCAAGTTCTCCACAAACTGGAGACTGTGAACAGCACTGTCCTGGATGAGAAGGGTCATCGCCGCCATCCTGTCAGCCAAGGTACCCGAGGACACAACAGTTTTCATCCACGCTGAAGAGGCCCCTTTCTGATAGTCTGTTTTATTCTTAAACAGGTCTGTCTCATGTTCATACAGCTTTTGGGCCAGGGCCTTATATTTGGCCAAAAGTGTCTGATCCTGTGGCTCTGGAGAGAATTCGTTGGTGTATTCTAAATCATACCACTTACCTCCCGGTTTGATCAGTATTGCTTGYCTAGCATGAAATTCAAAATCTTCTTCCAGCCTTTCTTTCTTTGCTGAAGGCTGCTGACCCTGATCACTGCCAGTCTGCTTTTTCTTGTTGTCTTTCACACTGCTGGCCTTTTCCTTTCCTTTTTTTTCTTTTTTCCCCTCTAGGGAAGGAGGGTTAGTCTCCTTCTTGYTTTTCTCTTTCTTTGGAGGCTTCTCTTTCTCCTTGCTGCCACCATCATCCTCGTCCCCCTCCACCACCAGRCAACTCTTTGCATACTTGTGGAGCCCCAGGGAGCTGACGAATGCCTCCAGCTCCCCTTCCTTCAGGTCATCCATCGTGTCCTTCTTGCCGCCATCCACCATCTCGCTCTCCTCGTCCACAGCACACAGCATGAGGTAATCTTGCTGCAGAGGCAGTGCATAGCTGTCACGGACAGATCTGCTGCGAGGTCTCCCAAGACTCCCAAGGACTCCCCCCAGAATTCCAGAATTGTTTGGGTTGGAAAAGATCTTAAAGACCATCCAATTCCAACCTCATTGCCRTGGGCAAGGACACMTTCCCCTATACCAGGTTCCTCAGARCCCCRTGCAGCCTGGCGACACCTCCAGGGATGGGGCACCCCTAGCTTCTCTGGGYAACCCGTCCYRGYGCCTCACCACCCTCTGAGCAAAGAACTCGCTCCCGCCATCTGCGTGGCACCCCCACGTCCCTGCCCCGCAAGGGCCCGTCCCGGGATGGGGGTCCCGGCCGCCACGTGCTCCCGCTCCCTCGGGCCCGCTCCCTCACCTTGGTGCCGCCGAGGCGCAACACCTCGTCCAGCGTGAACCCTCCCGCATCGCCACCTGCTTCTTCATCGCGGTCGTCGTCGCTCTCCTCCTCGCCGCTGTCRCCGCCCGCCTTTCTCGGGGTCCGCCCGCCGAAGTCCCAGAGCGCGGCCGCCATGGCCGCGGCCGGAAGAGCTCCCGCGCACCGGCGTGACGCGCGTCCGGCGCTGCCCGGCCCCCGCAAACGGGCGGAGAGCGGGAGCGGGAGCGGGAGGAGAGGAGCGGGGGGAAGAGCGAGCGGGGCGGGAGCCGCTGCCATGGTGCCGCTGCTCGCTCGCCGCGCGTTCCTSTGGGGGCGCCGGCGGCTCCCCCGTCCCGCCGCGGCTGCCCAAGGTGTCCGCCGCCTCTCCCTGTTTCCCGGCCGCTCCTCGCGGGGCCGTCCCGCTGAGCCCCCTCTCTCCCCTCCTCTCTCCGCTCCTCTCCCCACAGCTCCGGCAGCGGCGGCGGCGCGGCTCTGCTCGGGCGCCGGGGGCGAGGCGGAGGCGGCCGGCGGGGACGGCGCGATGCTGCGGCACCTGGCGCGCAAGCTGCGGGCCAGCGGGCCGGTCACGGTGGCCGAGTACATGCGGGAGGCGCTCACCAACCCCGGGCAGGTGCGGCGGGGCCGGGCTGGGCCGGGGGGGCTGTGCCTCGGCCCTGCCGCTCACCGCTTCCCCCCCGCAGGGTTACTACACGCGCCGCGGCGGCGTCGGCGAGAGCGGAGACTTCATCACCTCTCCTGAAATAAGTCAGGTGTTCGGAGAGGTAACGCAGTTCTTGCGTCTTAAGTGGTTGTGGTTTTTTTTTTTTTTTTTCACTTTAACCACACTCAGCTGTCTGGGGTAACAAAGGTGATTAAGGCACTGGAGCATCTCTCTTACCAGCAAAGGCAGAGGGAGCTGGGCCTGTTCACCCTGGAGAAGAGACACCGAGAGGGGCCCTCATCAATGTTTGAGAGTGTCTGAAGGGAGGTGCCGAGAGCACGGAGCCAGGCTCTGCTCGGTGCTGCCAAGCCATGGCACAGGAGGCAACGGGCACAGACGGATGCACAGGGAGTTCCACCTGAACAYGAGGAGGAACTCCTTTAYTGYGTGGGTCACCGAGCAGTGACACTCAGATTGGTTGTGGAGTCTCTCTCACTGGAGGCATTCAAGAACCCTCTGGATACAATCCGGTGCCATGTGCTCTAGGATGACCCTACTTGAGCAGGGAGGTTTGTTCAGATGGCCCAATGTAGTCCCTTCTAATTTCCATTCCAAGTGATTTCCAAGCCAGTGTTCAGGTACCTTACCAATATCAAAATACTTGAGTAGCAATGATAAGGCTCAAGTATTTCATAAAGAAAAATTGGTTTTGAGGGAGGAAAGGGTGTTTTATTTTTATGAAAGTTCTTTCATGTRTATAGTTTGAAACACCATCTGTGCTTAGTAACACTTCCATACATAACTTGCATATAAATAAAAAGAGTTATGATGATTTTCCAGTGTGAAAACTCCCTTAAAAATAATCTCCAGCRTCTAGTCTGGCTCACTCTGGTTTGTGTATCGTTTCAGTAGTGAAGAGTGGCTAAATCCTGTGGTCAATGATGGGTAAATGCATTGTCAGGAAGAACAGTTGTCCAGAGGCACCTGGGCAGTGACCAGCATTTGAGCCTTAAGTTCTTGCTCCAGCCAGAACAGAGTCCCCACATTCACTGATGGAGAGTTGTTTCTGCAGGGCTGACAGCAATCAATCACCAATTTTAATATTAATACTCGAAGAGAGAAATGTAAAGTTATGTATCATCATTCTTGTTAACTTTCAGATACGGAGACAGAATGTTGCAATGTTATCTTGGTTATTAGACAGAAGGCAGGTATGATTTTCCACCAGGTCTGAAGTTAYTACTGTAACCCTCTGTGTTGTTTCTCACTGACAGTTAATAGGAATATGGTACATTAGTGAATGGATGGCCATGGGCAAACCAAGCACCTTGCAGCTGGTGGAGCTGGGCCCAGGGAGGGGCACCCTTACTGAGGATATATTGCGGGTACGTGAAAACTGTTCATGTTCTCTATTTCTGGCTTTATTCCATAGCCACAGTGAAATCTGAAGGAATGATGTTTTGCTGTCAGGGTTTACCCTTCCCTACTAATCAGRTCACTCCAGTCAGGCTGGCAGTTCAGACTCTAACTAGAATAGATGAGTTTCTTGGATCAGGTCTCTCAGGTGGAAGGAGAACAGGGGCCAGCGTGTGCGCAGTGTCCGGACATGCCTGTGACCTTCCAAACACCACTGGATAAAGGGGAGGGCAGCAACATTCCCTCTAAACTATTTCTCTGTAGGAAAGTGTTATCCAAACTGAAAATCATCTAGGAAAGAGTTGCTCTGTGTATTTGAGATGGAGACCTTAGTGCAATGAACAGAAGGGGATGAGAATAATAACACAGGAGTGAAACTGTGTTAATTCCTTTGGAGATTGCAGGGGTTTATTTACTTTGAGTTAGCCCTTTGTGGCCAGTCATGCTTGCATGACTGTCTTAAAATGCTGCTGATTTATAAACAGATTGTTGATGGGATTTAGCACCACATAAGAACTTTGATTCTATTTATATATGTTAATAAAAACAACTAAATGTGAAATATCAAACACTTGAGTGGCAGGGGAAACTGAACCATTTCTCTTCTAATGCTAAACCTTCTGCAGGTGTTAGAGGAGCTGCTATTACTCTTCCAAATTAGCATTTCWTGTTGTTGCTCTTGCTGCCTTGTAATGTGTGCTGGGTTTTGCCAACTTTACTAGAAATGTAGCAACTTTTATTAAAGTTCATGAAGAAATTCCCACTTCCTACTAAAGGAGCAAAATGCAGTCTCTTTCACTGAGATGGTTTTGTTATTGAAAGCTAGCTAAATCTTTTATCTTAACTGTAAATAATGAGAAGAAAGTACACAGCACAAGAGTGTGCCTAATAGAATTCATCTGCCTTTGTAGGTCTTCAAGCAGCTCGCCTCTGTTCTTGGTAAATGTGATGTCTCTGTTCATCTGGTAGAAGTGAGCCCCAAACTCAGCGAGATCCAAGCAGTGACGTTGACAGGAGGGAAGGTGCAGCCAAATCCTGAGGACAAGTCTGCTTACATGGAAGGCATTAGCAAGAATGGAATTCCCATTTTTTGGTACAGCAACATTCAAGATGTGCCACCAGGTAAGGAGCTTGAGTGCCTTGCCAAAGGGATGGTTCCCTTCCTTTRCTGACAGCTTTTGATAGCAGAAGACCTCTCTGCTAACCTTCACACTGCACAGAAAAGCAGTTATATACATACTTGTTCTTACTTGGGTGAGTCTGAGGCAGGATCTTGGCTCATGTTCATCCCTTCTGCCTATTCTGCCTTTTTTCATTTGGAGATGGCTACCCAATTTCCTATATCCTGACTTTTTCTTTTCATGGGAAACCATTCACTGGCTTTGCTTGAATCTCCTTTCATGAGACAGATCTAAAATTCAGGGCTAGCTGTTGAARTGCTGTCTTTGGTGTATCCAAGCTGGAAGTGATTGCAATTTTTTCACAACCACATTAACTAGCTCAATCCACTAAAAATCATGAAAAATGAAATGTTTTTTAACAGAAAGCTTCTCTGTAAGCATTAATAATTTAATGCWTTCTTTTTTTACCTTCCCACAGGTTACACCTTTTACCTCGCACATGAGTTCTTTGATGCTCTGCCAATACATAAGTTTCAGGTATAGCAAGATTTATTATTGTATTGTGACCATCTGATTAAACACCTTTTATCTTTGAGGAAGAACAGAATTAAGGTGCTGAACTAGACACATGCAGTGTCTCTGGTGATAAAATAATTCTAACTGAATTTGAACAAATAAGGCTTACTTCAGCTGGTAACAGTAAAATTTGTAATTGTTCTTGAATGGAAAATTTTGAAGAAAGCTAAGGATTTCTTTCTGCATGATAACTCTTAAGGTTTTGGGGTTTAATTTCTAATGCTACATTAATGCAGCTATTAATTTCCACCTGATTTTCTGTAACAGTACTATCAAAAGACTGAAGSGCTTTCACTTGAATAGTAATGGCAGTAGCAAAATAGAAGCTGGTTATGATTCAGAAGAAGCTAATTAGTTTATGAAAATCACCAGTAGAACAAAATTTGTATTTTGATATGTTAAATACTGCACTGTCTATAGAAGCAACAGCATTTTTCTTCAGAGCATGACTCATTCCTTGTAAGCATRATTAAATTTATATTTGTTGGCTCTGCAGATGAGACTCTACCACAAGTTCTTTCTAAGGCAGTTACTGGAATTAAATAGGAATGAGTAATAGTTRTTAATAATGTATTGTGTTTGTAAAACATTTATGAAAGGCTTGACATATTAGTTCGATCAAATAAAGATACCATGGTACCTGTTAGAGTGTAAAACAAGTACTCTGGGCTCATTAAACAGAGAACGGAGAAAGGCTGGCGTGAGGTGTTGGTTGATATTGATCCAGAAGTTCCTGACCAGCTGCGGTTTGTCCTCTCTCCATCCAGGACTCCTGCAACACAAAACTTTATTCAGGTGARGTTTTGCCTACCAGAGCTCATCATTACACCTTTACTGAGTCTTTCAAGTACATTTGTCTGTTACTCTGACAAAGAGGAGGGTGGTCAGTCTATAAATGAATAGAGCTTAAAATTTCCATGAGCATTTAGCTTTGTACGCTGTGAAACTACAGCACAGAGATTATTACCATGTGTATTAAAATAGGAACTTGAAAACACAGAAAATGTTATAGAGAGCAAACTGAGGCAGCAGGTGACTGGCAGAGTTCTGCACTGCATGTGTCACATCACCATCGTGATAGTGGCCCTGCTTCTGTGCCAGGCTGACCTTTAATGGAACATAGCTGTGATTGACTTCTTTCTGAATTTCATTGGATACTCAAAGCTACAAAATTAAGTACTGGAGATTAAACCCAACTTCCAGTTTCACACAGGAAGGCCTCACTGAAAGGTGTGCACAGATGAAGCACTATTTTACTTCTTTCAGCTCCACAGTAAGGAAGTTTCACTTGGTGCAGATATTCTTGGTAGAAAAAWTTTCATTTGACTACAGGTTATTGAAGCGATGACTGAAATCTACCACTCAGAAAATACTAATAGAAAGTGGCCAATAGTAAAAAGTAGCTCAAGCTAACATAGGTAGCCTAGAATACATCCCCTGTAGCCACCTGTCCCAACAAAGCAACAGCCCCAAGATACCAAGGGTGAGGGATACTTGCCCTGTACTTTGACTTCTCTGCTGATACAGATGTTCTGCTCTTTGAACTCTGCACTAGCCAGAAGAAACAAGAGATCACGTGGAAGTGTGTCCTGAGGCTGGTGTCATTGTTCAGAGGCTTGCCTCTCGGATAGAGAAGGATGGTGGGGCTGCTCTGGTTGCAGATTATGGCCATGATGGAACCAAAACTGACACTTTCCGGGTAAGGCATTTGCCCTATAGCAATAAGCCAAAAGACTGTTATGTTTGATCATTAAGTTCTTGTAAGGTAAAGGTCATAGGTGGACATAACATCAAAAACTGCRTTAGCTGCAATCATAAAACTGAGTAATTCTTATTTAATCAGTTCCCAGAAGGGTTTCTGTTAGATGTAAAGGGTAATCTGAGCTCTTGTTACCTTTATCTCAAATTTCCCACCTATAATTTGCTATTCTCACCCTCAAACGCACAACTGTTTTTGCTGGCCCTAGCTATGATGGTTGGACTATAGCTGGGTGTAATTTCCAATTCCATTTTCAGGGTTTCCGGAATCACAAACTTCAYGATGTGCTGAGTGCTCCAGGTACAGCAGACCTGACAGCAGATGTTGATTTCAGCTATCTTCGAAAGATGGCACAGGGAAGAACAGCTACATTAGGCCCCATAAAACAGCGGGAGTTTTTAAAGAACATGGGCATTGACCTCCGATTGCAGGTACAAGTGTTCACAGATACAGGAACTCATCTGCCAGCAATACKCTTAAGCAGCAAGAGGGCTTTTGTAAAAATCTGATTTTAAAATGAGTTGTCCAAAATATCATGTAGGTGTGAGATCAGAAAGCTGCTTCTGCTAGATGTAAGTTACTCCAGATCCCTGAAAATAAACTGATACTATATTCAGGAGCATTTAATGCAAAACCTATATCCACGTATGGGCTGTAGACCACCACTGGTGATCTCACGCATTCTACCAACCATCATAGCACTGTTAGATTAAGTGAAAAGAATGCAAAAAGGGATTGAAGGAATGCAGGAATTTTTAGGAAAGCAGGAATGGGCTGTAACCTGCATTCTTTTTTTTTTTTTCCCAGGTGCTCCTGCAGAACTCAGGTGACACAGCAACTCGTCAGCAGTTGCTTCACAGCTATGATATGCTGATGAATCCCGAGAAGATGGGGGACTGTTTTAATTTTTTTGCTCTGCTGCCTCACCACAGACTTGTACCTCCTGACAAGAAAGATAAATCAAAGTCTCCCTCACCACCTGTTGCTGGATTTAATGAACTGTTACTAAAGTAATTTCAAATACTGTCACAAAATATTGTGATTGCTGTTTCAGAGTGAGTGGGGTGCAGCCCACTAAACCTCTCGACTGACCTACTCAAAGGAGTATGAGTGGAAATAAACCACTGCACATACAGAAACCAGCACACAGAGAACAGAGAATGGACAAGTTTGGGGGTCTTTGATGGAACTGAGTGAAATATTTATAGTGGAATCAAAACCTGTCAGTAACAAACAGATGCACTGAGGAGTCTTTAAATGTATTCAAGCTTTGGTATCTGAATAAAATCAAGATGCCTTGACATCTTTGAGGATATTTTTTAAAGAGAATGGATGCACATAGAAGGGAGTTCCTGCCAGCAGAATTTCCACAGGAGGACATACCTAATGACAAATCACAAACAAGAAAGTATAGAACCATTTACTCCTAAGGACATTTGATAGGAGACATTTACATAAACAAAAAGAACAAGTCTGATAGGGAAATAAATTTTATTTTCAAGCTTATCAGAGGGTATTTACAAACAATGGGATGTATAAAAATATAAAAGTACTTAACAGTGTCATTTTGAGGCTATAAATTTTACATGAGCTTTTTTCTAGCATCACCATAGCACTATTGCTTGAATGAAYGCAACTTAATTCACCTAGGGGTACGGGTATTAAACACTGTAACCTACTGCTGTCAAAGTCTGCAGTAAAGGTAGAAAAAGAGGGAATAAAAAACTCAGCTATTTTTACTACTCTAGGAAGTTTACTCATAATACATGTCTGATTTTTTTGGTTTCTTGACTACTAGCTGCTTGTGGTTTCTATTGTCTGGCCCCRTAAGTCTGCACATGTGATCAGGCAATCTCCAAAGGCCAACAGCATTTTATTTTAATACAACCTGAAGAATAAATAGCTCATATAATATTTTGAAGCAGAGCAGACTCATGGGGAGAGACAAAAGCCAGGCCTTCTACTTCAATTACTGTCCACCTCCTTCCTCTATTCCTGTTGTGCTTTTTCAAGTGACTGAGCTGCTTTATTTCTTCCCTTCAAACAACACAGCAAAAACAACACAGGTAAACCTGAAATGACAGCKCAGGTAAAAAACCTGAAGTTTAAAACCAAACTGCATCACATTATTTCAGTTAGGATGGAATATAGCAATGGCTTCACTGAAATTTGGTCACTTAAGCAGTGTAAGTTGAAAAACAACACTACTTCCCTTGCCAAGAGTGGGCAAATACCAAACTACCAATGTCAGAGGTGATTGCTCTGCTCCAAAGACGACAAACTGTGCCTCTCTGAAGAATCAATCCTGAAACTCTCCCTTGAGAGGGTAAAGAAGCCAGAGCTCAGCCTTTGCCAATGCAGACACCTACAAAATGCAGTGGCAGATAGATTAAGGACAATGGGAAAAGAAAAGGTGGGTTAAAGWCCCAAACCTACCTATGGGTACATCCTTCTGCAATTGCCATCAACTCCGCTGTCAGGTCACTGCTACTGCCAGCAGCTGCCAGCCCTGAACTAACCATGGAACGTTTTAAGTACATCTAACAACTTCTAAGTCTGCTCACCTGTTTCCTTACCTGAATAGCAACAGAAAAAAAAATACTTACCTACACAGAAACAAGAAAATCTTTGTAGGAGAGAGGAGATACCCCAAAGCCTCTCACTGCTTTGGCAGKTCAAGCCTGTATCAGTATTTTAGAAATATTTCCACCTAAGCTCCARTTAAGCAGCTTGGCACATCAGGGATGCATACAGCCATCCAGCACCCTCCAGCAGCACAACACTGTTACCAGACAAAAAGGATTTCACCTTTTTTGTTTCTTTAAAACAGACSAAGAAAACCCTCTTCCATTTGCATTTAGATTTTGTGGCCTCAAATTTCTTTGAAATACTGTGAACTTGAACAGTCCAAGAGAATCATTTCCAAAAACACTGCTGATTCCCCTCTATTAATGCCACAATTCCCATTAGTGGTTGRGAATCCTTCAACTGAGGCATCTGCATTTAAAAAGAAACTGATTGAGAAATTGGTTTTGGACTCTTCATCCAGCTCAAACAATGCTGAGCACAGTAAAGAGGACAGGAGGGGCTGCAGGTTAACGTGAGAGGGCAAAGTCCTTTCTCCAGGCTATCCATCTGCCCTGTCACATTCAACAGGCGATGTGGTATCCACTGTTATTCCTAGGTTTTGAGCAGAGTTAACATACAAGCTAGCAGGCTGCAAACTACTCCTGATGCAATTCCCGGGAGCCTTAAAAAAATTAGAAAAATATTAGAAAAATATTAGAAAAAATTTAAAATCTTATTACTCAAAATGACTGGAGAGCTGTATGTATTTTTCCCTGTTTTTCCAGAGCCTTCTGATAGAAGCTGGTCTTCCAGAGTGAAAGGATGTGCTATCTCTCTGTGCATTACCTGTGTAGTTTTAAGGCAAAGTGCCTTTGGTGTGTATCAGTGATGTGCCAGCCTTGCACACAGCAGCAGACTGTTGTGGCTTATTGCTTTTTTGAACAGACAAAATAAAGGACTAGCATAGCTTTGATTGTCATCTCCTTAGATTGTCAGCCAGCATTTCAAGAGGAATTTAAGAAGTTATGGGGTTTTGGTTTTTTTTTTTTGGTATCTGGAAAAAGTTCAATTAGGGCAAAGACACACGTTTAACTGTCTTAACAGCAGCAWATTATTCCTTCATCTATGAAGCTGCATTCAACTAAACCATCGTATTTTGCTTTAGCCAAAGTATCCTGTACAGATTTCTTTATATAGAGTCTCTTGTCCATCCACAGTTTAATAAATGGGAGATGTATCTAAGTAACAGAAAACAGTCCTCTATGGCCTAGTAAACAGGGATKAGAAAAACTATTACAAAACTCTTACTGCGTAGGCTATGAAAAAAACAAAAATTCTTGAAAAACACAAACCATTCAATCTGTGCACATTACAGCTCAGTAAAGACTTTGTAGCCACTGAGCTCAATGAAGTGTTACCCAAAGGGGCTTRTCCCACTGTCCAATAACTACTGATAGTTAAGTCAGGGACGGAGAAAAGCTTGTCAGATGACAGTCTAATCCCATGGCAATGCAGGATCCTCTGGGGCTTTACACACCAAACTATGTGTACAGCATTTGGAAAGAGCAAGAGCTGTTCCAAAACTTATCTTCAGTTTCTGCCTGGAGYATCCTTCTTCGCTGCAATTTAGCGTAATGAACAAATCAAGGGTCTTCTTCCATGTCATCTGGATTAGGAGCCATAATGAAGTGCTGGGGGTACTCGAGGTTGTGTTCATAAGCGTGTTCTTTCCAGCGTGCATCATCACTCTCATGGGTAATGTAACGCTCTCCAATGTGTGTTTCAAATTCTCTGAGGTCAAGCCAAGTCTGATAATCCTAAGGAGTAAAAAAGATTTAAGGAAGCAGTTCTAAGAAACAGCAGCACTACACTCCCATAGATAAATTCTGCAGTTTGTCTCTACTTTTAATACAAATAGACACAAATAAAACCAACAAGATCTGTCAAAAAATAAAAAAGAAAAAAAACTAAAACCAAACCCAAACACCCTCCCACAAAATGCCCCAAACACTGTCCACAAAAAATAGTTCAAAATTAAACAGGCTAGTATCTAAGGTTGTCAAAGCAGCAGATAAATTCCATTCCAAACAAAACCGTTCTGAAGTAACTAAAAGTTATGGCACACAGCAGGCTGTGTGTCCACTTCAGCACTGAACAATGTCTGTCTCCATCACAGCCCAGTCAGGATAAAGCCAGAAGAGTAAACCCATGTCATTGTCACACAGAAAGGAAAAGGTGGGAGAGATAGTGAGACAAATTTCCCTWGAGGAAAGAAGCCATTAACAGATGGGCAGAATCCTGGAGCCCTTCAAATGTAAAGCTAAAACCAGAAATGTTCAAACCTTTATGAATGCTTGTTAAAAGAACATAGTTGCTCTTTTCATAAGCCTCTGAAGGAATTCAGTCAAAAAAATTACMCATTATAAACATACTGAAAAAGGCAGATRGGTTTACCTGTAACCAAGGGTGACTAAGGGATTTGTCAACACTGAAACGTTTTCTCATCTTCACTTGAAGCAAATTGTTTATCAAATCAATGGCTGACAAAGAAGAACAAAAATTATATTATTTAAATACTAATCACCTCTATCATCATTCACATGCTGCAGTAGAGATTATTTTTTGTGTAAGTGTATCCTACACTGAACTCCTTTAAATTTTATTAAGCTCTTGAATTTTATATGTAGCTTTGCTTATGTTAAATAAGGCTACAAAATAGGTAAGGGCTAAGTTCCCTCTAGTTTTGATGGAAACACTGAGAGCTTTATTATGTTACTCATTAATCTCTTTCCCTACTGATTTGAATGTGTTATCTACAAACACAAATATTCTAATAGAGAAAATTAATTTCTTTACCTTCACTAGAAATTTCCTTCCAAGGATTTGGTGGGTACATAAATGCTGCATTTTGAATCTGATCGTTGATGTCCTCATCTTCATTAAACGGGAATGTRCCACTGAGGCTCACATAGACAATCACTCCCACTGACCACATGTCTAGGGAGCGATTGTAGCCTTTGCTCCTGAGCACTTCAGGGGCAAGGTAAGCAGGAGTCCCCACCACAGAGCGCCGGAAAGACTTCTCACCAATGATGCGTGCRAAGCCAAAATCACACAGCTTCACCTGCAAAAGGAACAAATTTTAAACTGAGAAATCTCTGCATGACTTCACACCCTTTCTGCCACCACTTAAACAATAGATGTATGAAAACAGACACAAATCCTCATGTAAGCCAGTCAATTAAGGTTTTGTGTTGCTGGTTTTGTAGCATGCAGATCAGCCATGCTTCAAATCAAGACCTGAATTGGCCTTGCACAGCCTCAGGTCTGAGGCAGTTTGTGTATTATGGCCACAAGTGTGGAAATAAGGAAAAAAGATCTTGATTCCAAACCCAGCTCATTTTCAGAGGTGAATCCTCACTCTCACAAGGCACAGAACCAAAGTTAAAAATGCACATGAATCCCAGCCAAATCACATTCCTCTTAATCATACTCGAGAAGCTGGAGGCTTTGGCTACACAGAAATCAAACACTGAGTTTTAGCTTGAACTCAGACCCAGCCGGCTCTCGACAGAACATCCAGATAAAAAAGCATCAGTGGCTGGCACATGCACCAAAGCTCAAATCTTCATGGTTCTACAACAGCTCCTTAACTTGAAGATGGCAAGCACTTGTGGAGATAAAAGGATCTAAATCAAGTCCAACATTTAACCCTAAGTCAATAAGCCCTCCTCGGGGTATATGAAAGAGCAACGCACTAAAAGCATTTATTGGGGAAAGGGAAAAAGAGACAACTACAATACATRTAGTTCAAGTAATTCTAGAGTTAAGTCAGTTGAAAATCCCACAAGAGGTCGCTTTTTTAAGCTGCAATGCTAATGTTGCTTTAAAAAAACCCAATGA